AAGAAAAGAAACAAACCAGAAAGAAACAAGTGAACAAAAAAGAAAGGAAGGCATGATGAGAAGGTAGGTAGGCCTTTGGTCCCGATGTGCATTTACACAATTTATGTCACCTTTATTCCTACATGTTAGGTGACATTCATATTTCCTACCCTAGAACAAAACATAGGAGAGAGTCAAGTAAAAAAGCAGTGAACTTTTTTTATCTGTGGTACAATGCTTGCAGTTAAAATACTGAACTTGCTATACCTTTGCCTCTTATCTCACAGTTGTTCAGATCAATAAAAAATTATATTGCTGCTAAAGTATCCTCCGTAGAGGCAGCTTCAGAGTCCTCCAAAAACCTGCAGCAAGAGATTTTATGTTTGATGCACTACCCCAAATGGAACCATACAATTCACTAAGTTCAACAAGTTTCAAAGCTTTCTCCTGAACAAAGAAGACTATTTAAAACAAGAATTGTATTTTTCTTACATGTGCTTATTCACTCAACTGTTCACGTATTGAATCAGTCAACAAATGGATTACATGCCTACTGCATGGCAGTTACTGTGTTGAAGATGAAGAAGCATTCTCAGAATAGGGGGGAAGATGCAGCCCTCAGTCCAGCTGGTCACTCTGAGGACATGAGCCAGCCCGGGAGCCAAGGAAGAATCAGGAGAGACACATAACACAAACTATGGGGTTGGGGACAACTTCCAGACGAGGTGGCACTTTCATGATGTCTTTAAGTAGTTCTCTGATGAAGTAGGAGCTAACCACGTTCAGGGAAGGGCTGGGGGTGGTGTTACATTGTAGAAAAAGGGGATATCATCAGTAAAGCCATTATAAGAACAAGATTATTGTTGATCTGTTGGATTTTTTAAGTAATCAGAACTCTATCTTTTATTTCTCAATTCACTTGACCCCAGTCATCAGCTCCTGATGGATTTCTTGTATTTAGGTAAAATATTTACCCTTTCTTTTTGTTTTTTTCCTCAACTTGTCAGGCTGAATTGAAACACGCATGCACATACGCATAAGCATATATATTTACACATAGATTTGTTTTATATAAGCTTGTTACAGAGTAGGATGACAAAGGGGCGCAACTTAGAAAGTATGAAGTTTTGTTGAGTACCAAAACTTCTCTTACCTGAGTATTTTAAGATTTGCTTTTCAGATTTTTATAAATCAACTAAGGAAAAAAAACACTTAGGATGAAGAATCCTAAGCTCTTAATCTTACCACACTCAGTCTTTCTTCTTCTGCTGCTAAAACCCATGTTGTTCTGTATTTTTCTTAAGTTGTGGCAACCAAAACTGCATACCACACTTGATGCTGACATGTTCTCTTTTATATTTTATGTTTGACTTTACTGGCCCCATTTATGATATTCTGTGATTTTCCTTGTTTTCAAAGGCAGCTCATTAAACTGGAAATCATAAAGAACCATCTGGGATGATTCTGTGGTCCTATTTATGGGTGACTAATAACCAGCCTTTAATTTTACCTGTGTGGATTGAAGTTTTTTAAAATGCCCATATACATTAAAAATGTATTGTTATTGTTGTTATTTTGTTTGTTTTAAAAAGTACCCTTACCTTGTCTCCTTTTGCATTTTTGAGGTAGAATTCACTTTCATGTCTTTATCTGGGGTATAGAGTGTTATTCCCACTCAGAAATCTTTCAAGTTCTCCAGTAGACTTTAAGTGTTATGACTAATACTACAAATACCAGAACAGTATACTGGCAGGTTACAGGGCTTTTCTGACAATACATTAGTTCATCCAATGTTTTAATTTTTAAGGTAGATAGAATACAAGTACATAAGGAAAGTAATAACAGACATTCAAGAGCAAAATGCAGCATGCTTGGATTTTAGGGGTAAGCACTGATATTGATTAAGTGTTTTTACCTCATACTTAAGATTTCAAATATGTTTTATTTATTGATTTATTCATTCATTCATTTATTAATTTATTTTCAAAAAGATTTTATTTATTTATTTGTCAGAGAGAGAGACTGAGGGAGAGAGCACAGTCAGGGGGAGTGGCAGGCAGAAGGAGAAGCAGGGTCCCCGCTGAGCAAGGAGCCTGATGAGGAATCATGACCTGAGCCAAAGGCAGACGCTTAACTGACTGAGCCACCCAGGTGTCCCTCAGATATGTTTAAAAGAGTTTTTAGTTTCTGATTTATTTTGACTATTAGAATATAATGATTTCATTTTTGAGCATGATTTATGTGTTTTCAGAGACTGAACAAAGTTTCTCTTTTGCATTTTAATTATCATTACCTCGAAAATGTGATTACAAACAAGTAGCAAACAAAAAAAGCTTTATCATCTTATTTTTTAGTCACATATTAATATTATAATAAAGAAATTCTCTTTTTCAACCAATCTTTCCATTTTTATTTTACTTTCAAGCTTTCTATGAAAGATCTACATGAAAGAACATGGAATTATGCAGGTTTTTTTCCTACACCATATCAAATACTCAGAAAATTGGTAATTATTACCCAAATATTTTGTAGGCAAAGACCAAATTTCAGATCTATTATCTAGATTAATGAATGGTAAAATACTTGACAGAAATATTTATACTCATCCTTAAAAAGATAAAAATAAGTGGATATCAAAGACCAATGAAAAACAGACATCACGGCTTTTCTCTCTCTATTTGCTCCATTTCAGTTGTTTTTAATGAGAATCTTTGATGGCAACCTTTAGTTGTTTGGACATTTCTGGCTTTTGAGTGGTATCAGCACAGGGAAAAATAAAAAGCAATAATTGCTAGAACTAAGGAAATATTTTTGTTAATAAGATACTAAATTATAGATACTTTATAATTTCATTTTGTTTATTATTTTTTAAAGATTTTGTTTATTTATTTGACAGAGAGAGATATAGCAAGAGAGGGAACACAAGCACAGGGAGTGGGAGAGGGAGAAGCAGGCTCCCTGTGGAGCAGGGAGCCCGACGCGGGGCTCGATCCCAGGACCCTGGGACCGTGACCTGAGCCGAAGACAGACGCTTAATGACTGAGCCACCCAGGCGTCCCGATACTTTATAATTTTAAAGGTTTTTTCCATGCATGGTCTCATTTTTTAAGTCCCACTTTTTTGGCATCAAATGGATTTAAGCACTCACCATTTTCTGGGGAAAGCGGCATTGGTTAATAATCCTTTAAGGAAGGGTAAAGGATAAAGTCCCCTTGAGAGGTAAATAGAAATTTGATAGTTTATTCCTTTAAATTATCTTTTTAGTTTTACAAGTGTATTACTACTCGTGTTTTTTTCTAGCCTTTTCTTCCTTTTTATCATTCTCAGTTGATTTGTCTTACCCTTTGTGCCGTATAATCTAAAAATGTACCTAGTTATAATAATATTTAGAATTATTGATAACAATGAGCTCTAAATGCAGGGACTGGTAGATGGACAGAAAATTCTAAAACATCTTAAATGAAATCATTACTGACATTACTTATCACTGTCCACCATAGTATATGGAGAGCATATTATCTATGAAAAAAGGCTTCACTTTTTCTTCTCTACAAAATGAATAAAAAATTTGCAAGTTGATGACTATCAAATTCGTCAAGGTACTGAATCATAAAAAACAATCTCAATAAAACAAAGTAATGAGTGAAGTTCATGGAAGATAGTACAGAATATACTGGGAAAATGCACGTGTGAAACCTACTGGCAGGGGGCTAAGGATTACTAATACTCCGATGGTGATCAGGAGAGCCAGCTGCATGCTAACCATGTCATACAATGTAGAAAGTAGCTGTCAAATGCCAAGGAAGCTGCATGAGACATTTGCCAAGAGGCCAGGTGTTTCTGCTGGTAGATAAAATGTGTTCCACAGCTTGATACCTGTGTTTTATTAGTGGTACCTGAGGAGAGCAGCAACTTTAGTAACTAGTGGAAAGTCAGTTTGTTTTTCATTTCTCTGATTCACGTATGCAGCTTCTGAGTTATGCTAGAAAGTTTCAGCTAGTAGTACGTGTATTAGGGTCATGTTTGCCTTTAGGTAAAAGAATTATTTTCTGCATAGAGTAATATTAATTGCTCTACTAAAGGAAGTTTCAAAATTCATGTGAGTGAAATATAGCTTGTTTTTTTAGCAAGCATTCACTTGACCATTCTGAATATTCACATGGTTAAGCCTTTTTAAGCCAATGATGATTAATGTTTATAGTGAAGCAATAAATGCAATTATTAAATTTATCATCAGCTTTTATTTATGGTGACTCTTGTGCCAGTTTTCAAATATTAATCTTGTATTACAGTTGAATATGTTCAATATCATGGATAGCTGCTAGAAACTAGTTCATGAACGCCTTAACACTATGATGTAGCAATCCCTACTTTTGCCCCAAATGTAATAGAAGGCAAATCTGTCAGCCTTAGCTCCGGCCCCGGAGGATTGCTTTGTCAGAATTCCAGAATTCATCATTAAAGGATTGTTTAACTTTAATACTATACTAGCACAATCCCCAGTATACCATTGTAATGAGGCTCCAGTTAGAATATGACTTTATTTCCTCTAAGCATCCTATTATTATTTAATAATATTAAGGGGTAGCCATCCTTATGTTAGCCTGTGTTTGAAGAACACAATTACCTTTGACTTTTCTGTGCACTTAATTTTGAGAGTTTCCTTTTTTGGTCTGGAAAAATGTCTGTAAATGTAATGTCGTTAATTTATGTCACCCCTGGAAAAAAATTTTTTATTACTTGTGGTTCTGTGAGGCCTTAAGTTTTCTTTAGAAAGTCAAGAATGGTCTGTGAAAATGGATTCTAGAAGTGAACTGATGTAGACAAATGTTTCTGTGTTTATGATTGAGGGAACCAAATAAATATTGATGTAAATACAATTATATGAAAGCCAAAGTAGTATGTAGTTTGTAGAATAAATAATAATTTGAACAGGGACTTTTTAAGATGGATAGTGTGAGGGCAGAGAATCTTTTAACCCACTGGTTGCTGACGCTGACTTCATGTTTTCTTTCCTTTAGGGTGTTGTTAGACCCACTGGGGGATATGCTGTGATGCTAAACTGGACAATGTCTTCTATCTATGGACTTAAACCTGGAGAGGTAATCATGGCTTTAAATTCATGATATATGACATTTCCCTGGTGAACACTTACGTATTTTATTATCTTCTTATTTTTTAGGTGTGGTGGGCAGCCTCTGACTTAGGCTGGGTTGTTGGCCATTCCTATATCTGTTATGGACCTCTTCTGCATGGGAACACGACAGTCCTATATGAGGTAATAAAATGAGATTAATACCACCTAAAGATAATTTTTTTTTTTTACTGAAACTTTTAAAAGAAGTAGTTTCTAAGTGGGAACAGAAAAATTTGGATTGGGGGCAGGAGACATTTTTATATATTCTTCCAGTTAAAAATATGATTTCAAAAGAGAAAGGAATAAAGAAAAATAATAGCCAGCTTTTTAAATTGTGCTGAACAAAGCCAGTAAAAATTATATTACGAAAAACATATACTAATCAGCTTGATGTCTATCCGTAAAGGATTTCTAGAAAGGATTATACCGAAGTTATTGCAATAAAATAATGTTTTTTTTTTAAATAATCATTCCCTTTGAAGTAAACAAAATAAACCACACTGAATACCTATGATGAATTGTGGTATAGATAACACAAATGTAACAGAGCTGAAGGTGCCACTATAAGTATTTATATTTAGAAGTATTAAGCTGCATTTAGAGCTGAAGAATATACCGTTCTTGTGCATTTACCATCAGCTTTTTTTTATTTTTTGAGTTTATTTGAAATTTAACACCATGAAAGGGGCTCAGTTGTTTGTCTTTATCTTGGAATGATGTGCTCAAGAAGAGTGTAGCTGTTTTATAAGTATTTTTATGTAAAAGATTAAATATAATAACTACATTCTAAAACCTTTTATCTCTACTCTGGTTTCTTTCCTACACTGTGTAAACATCCTCTATTCTTTCTGATAACAAAACAAAGCTTTTTAGACCTTTGCCCACTTCTGGCTATCCCATCTTTATTTTCTTCTCCACTAAACTCCTTGAAAAAAGTACCAAATCCACACTTTTTGAATTTAATATTCTTCTAGTCACTCCATATCCCACTGTGGTGCAATTTCTGTCCACCTCGCTTCCTAGAATCTACCGCAACAGAGGTCAACAGTGACTTCATAAGTGGCCAAGTCAAAAGGTTTTCAGTCTGATTTTCTTTTCACTCTCTTGGCACATCAACCATGCTGTTTCCTGCAAGTAATTCTCTCTCCTCTTGAGCTCCATGTCCTTTTGCTGTTTTTCTGTCTGTTTCTTCTTCCTGGCATGACTTTTCCTGTATCTTTCCTTACCAGGTTAATTCCTACTATGCTTGAAGACTCTGCTTAGATGTTACCATGTTTTCAAAGTTTCCTCTTACAGCCTTTGGTTTTGTTTAGTGCCCTTTCCATGGTTCCACTGCCCCGTGAGCATATGTCTATCACTGATCACTGAGCTGAGTGTACTGTTTTGATATTAACTGTTCCTATCTAGTAGGCCGTGAGACTCTCAAGAACCAGTCTTCCAGCACAGTGCATAGCACACACTAAACACTCAGTGAATGCTCATGAAACTAAATTGAGCTCTACTCCTCTGTTCTCCTATCTCTCCGACAGCTTGACCTCCTTTCCTCTCTTGGTTTCTCATACTTTGGTCCTAAACATTGGGGCTTATAGGGGTATTAATTCTTAGCCTTCTTTTCTCATTCTGCTTATATTTTTGGGGTAATCTCCATGTAGTTGGATTTAGTAGTACTAGTTAAACCAGGACTTCCAAGTACTCCTATTTCTGTATCAGATCTTCCTGATGAGCACCAACTTATTGTTAGCCCATCTTTGGATGGCCCATACACATCTTATGCTCAAGATGACACGAATTGAACTCACCATCTCCATTCTTCCCTGCAAAATTCATTTTCTTTCCACATACTTTCCATGTACTTTGTAGTTTTTTAATTTTTTGTGCATCTACCCAGTCATCCAAACTAAGAATTGAGGAGTGATTCTAATTTCATGATCTTTACATGTCACACCCTATCACTCATTACATTTTGTTGTATTTATATTTTAGTACCTATCAAAAGTGTCCTCTCTTTTCCATGCTTCCTGCCATATATTCAGAGCTGATATTCAGCTGGCATGCATAAGTACGTTGTTAATTGGTGTATATTCTGCATTTGGCTTCTGATCTGACTTGTGCCTGTGCTCTCTGGTTGTGTATTTCAGGTTATCATCTGATAATCAGTCTAGAGCACGTTCTAACAGGTGCTTCTGCCTTTAAGCGTCCTTCCAGGCTACCTCTACTCTCCCTCCAATCTCTGAGCTTTAACCACATAAAATTACATGTCTAAAATGCAAAAGCCAACATAGAACTTTGTTGCTTAAAATCCTTCAAAGGATTGAGTTCTGCTTTTGCAAAGATGAAGATGACATACTTTCCTCTATTCCTCCCTCTAATTAGAACTAAAAGTCACAAGCGTGTCTAGAACAAACATGAAAAGGCTGAAAGGTGGACAGAAGAAGGGAAACTGGCGTTAGGGACCTTGGGACCCAAGGATCAACATGGTGATAAGATCCTGGGTTTTATTTTTCCTGCATATATCCTAGATTTGCTGCTGAAAAAGCTGGCAACCCAGAAATGCCAATGATAACAACGAAAAAACTAAACCAAAAACTAAACAAACAAAAAACTAAAAAAGAAAAAAAAAAGAAACATGATCTCTTAAGCCAAAGAAGTAGGAAAGGGACAGCCTAAGTAAAACATAAAACTTTAGATGGCTCTACTCTAGGCAGACACCACAGAAAAATCCATGCTGTCTCTCCCTGCACCCCCTCCCCCCACAACAGCAAAAGCTGAGTTTAGACTTCCACATTTGTCTGGTTGTAAGGAGGAGCAGTAACCCTCCATCTTCCCATAGGGGTGTCAGAGAAGTTCAACTAGGGAGCCAAGACTTTCATCCCTGCCTAGTAGTAATGAGGACCCCTCAAACTTGCAGTGACAGTGAAACCCATAGGGGTCTGGACTTTTACCTCCTCCCATCAGTAATGAGGTACCCCTCTCACTCCCCATTGGGGTGGTGTCAGAGAAGGCCATGCAGGGAGCAGTAACAGGACACTCTTACCCCCCCTCCCCAGCCAGGGAGTTATCAGTGGAAACCCACTGTTGAAAGTGGAACCCAACCAGTTGCAATGAGAAGCATTCTCCCAGTTGGGTATCAGTGGAGGCCAAATGAAGAATCTGGATAAAAAGTTTAATTCAAAAATTAAAAGAAATAGAAAACCTTCAAAGAACTCTTGTCTCTTAAAAAAAACATAATTTAAACCCATTTGCCTAATACACGTGATTGATAGTCATCTGCCCTTTGCCTATATTTAAAGTCTTATCTCTGGTTCCTGGCCTCTGACTCAACTTTCCACTTAAAAATGCTGTAATATGGGCACTTACATGAGCAGAACTGGAAGCGATTGTGTTTTCCTGATAGTAAAATTCCACTTTTGTCCTGATCATGTTGCAGACTGATGCTTTTTCTTAAGGGAGCAAGTTAAATATCATCTCTCTGGTATTTCCTTTGCTTTCCTCAGGCTGATTGAGGTGTTCTCTGTGCTTCCGTTATACCATCTAGATTCCTCTGATCTTGTAGATTCCGTGCTATGATACTGGAAACTCTGAGGACAGGGGATGTTTGTCATTTCTGTGCCCACCCCCCCCCCCGGGGCCTGGCACAGTGCTTTCCAGGTAGTAGGTAAAATTTGTTGTGTAAATGAACCATTGCTCAGGGGATTAATTGACAACTTGAGCGTGCAAAATATAGGGAAAAAACTTGCTTGCTTGATTAATTAAAACAAAATTAAAATAAACTGAAGATGAGTTCTGCCTTGTCACCAGGCCAGCAAGTGAAAAAAATATTTAGGAACCTCTGCAAAATGATCATCCCATTTGTCCCCCAATTTTAGGTGTATTACCAAATTAATAATATTTTATTTTAGTCTGATTATTGGGTTTTTTTTTTTTAGGAAGCTGAAATCTCCCATTAAAAAATAAAAAATACATTCTTTTTATAGTGAATAGATAACAGATCCTTCATGAACTTCTCATAGGATTAACTTTTCTAAAGAGAAATAAAATCATATACAGCTCAGTATGTTCAAAGTTTTATTTTCATTTTTAATGAATTACAGCATTTCAAAGCTGTAAGGTAGATAGTGAATTGGTGAGTGTGATGATATTTTTACATAATGATGAATTTTGATTTAATAAAAATTGATGTTCTGAAGTACTAGTTCGTTATGTGCTCAAGTCATCTAGAGTTCATAAAACATCTCCCTTTTTTTTAAAAGATTTTATTTATTCATTTGAGACAGAGACAGAGAGAGAGAGAGCATGAGCAGGGAGAGAGGCAGAGGGAGAGGGAGAAGCAGGCTCCCTGCTGAGCCAGGAGCCCAAGGTGGGGCTCGATCCCAGGACGCTGGGATCATGACCTGGGCCGAAGGCAGACGCTTAACCATCTGAGCCACCCAGGTGCCCCATAAAACATATCTTATTGAGTGTAAATGGTCATGATATTTTATGAATGAATAATAAATGAATCCTTTTTCTCAGCAAAGATAATTTTTTTATATTCTGGAATTTAATACACATCTATAACTATATCGGCTGAAAAAACTCAAAAGTGGTTATAACTAAGTTGGAAAATCAGTTTAACTTCTAGACACTCACCTGAAACAATGTGTGTTTCAACATGAACGCATGAAGTGGAAAATACGATTTTTGTTTCTGCCATAGAGGACACATAGCTGTGCATCTGCAGGCTGAAAACATTGGAAATCCTGGTTGTCTGCTTTGGCTTTAGCTTCTTGAGGATTACCAAATTTGTAACACACTTCTATTTCTTTCATTAAAACAGACAGACAACAACCAAAAAATAATCCCACAAAAATTTTCAATTCCCTAATCCCCTTTGCAGTTAGAACACTCTCTTCATCTTGGAAGGCTTGCCTTATTCTATGGTCCTCTCTCGTTGGCATCTGTCACCATCATTCCATTATAACAGCTTTTGATAATTTCCCTGGCTGTCTTTATTTTTCCAAATGCTAATGGGGGCATTTTCAGTCCTAATTATTCTTGGCTTGTCAACCCTTGAAAGTTGTTGAATCGCTCTCTTCCCTTCTCAGGCATAGCCTGCTTTCCTGAAGTTGTTCTAATGCTCACTCCTGCTATAGGAATTTGTC